TTGGGGACAATTTACACAGTGGTACATCGAATGATTTACGCGCAGAGTTAGGAGGTTACGGTGTAGTTAGACATAAAGCTGGAAAACATCCACTTTTATCACCTCAGATCAGAATCGCATGAACGACTGAAAAGACAAATATATAGAAATGCAGTGTACTTTTGTTGTAGACAATGAGATGCAATGTACTTGGCGCAAGACTTGCGAACGCTGAATGATTCTTAAATTGGAGAGAATCTACACAGTGGTACATCGAATGATTTACGCTCAGAGTTAGGAGGTTATGTTCGTTGCATTGAAGGGTTCCCTTTTTTGGTGACTTTTATTTGGTAGAAGACCCCAAAAGGCCAAAACTCGTCTGCAGTTAGCTAAAAGTTGATCTAGAAAAAAAAAGTTAGCATCTGATACATTGAACTCGAATCTGAAACGTTTTGGAGCCATCTTGACCTGAGAGAATCTGTGATATACCTGTGTTGTGATTGATCGATCATAATTAAACTCTGCTCTGGGCCTCGGGTACGTGTGCACGTGTGATCGTAATATTTGGTTTACTGACGAGGGAGATTTAGGCGTTGATCACAATCTAGAAAAGCTTTAGACCCTATTTAGATGGTGTTAAAAATTTTAAGTCCCTATCACATCGGATGTTTGAACACTAATTATAAATATTAAATATAGACTATTAATAAAACCTATCCATAATCTTAGACTAATTCGCGAGGCGAATCTATTGAGCCTAATTAATCCATGATTAGCCTATGTGATGCTACATTAAACATTCTCTAATTATGGATTAATTAGGCTTAAAAAATTTATCTCGCGTATTAGCTTTTATTTATGTAATTAGTTTTGTAAGTAGTCTATATTTAATACTCTAAATTAGTGTCTAAATATAGAGACTAAAGTTAAGTCCCTGAATCCAAACACCATCTTAGGCGTTGATTAGTGGCTGAGAATTGAGATGACCCGCGGGAATCGATCACACGTATCTCAGTTAGTTCTAGGAAGAAACCAATTATTTACTCCGCCTAATATTATATCTAACTATATATTATTAAAACAATTTAAAAGGATGCACCATATTGTACGCTAGAAACCATGATTATCATTAAGGTTTTTAAAATCGAACATGATTAACATTGAGCTTTTTTTTTTACTTTTTAGAAGTCCCGCCAACTGTCGTGATTATGCTCTTAACAGTCTATCCGTCGTCCCTTCTTTTAATCGTCATTGGGATTATATTTGAGATTTCGTTAATAGTTTCTAGATGTCCCATCAACTGCCGTCACTCACTCCTTTATAGGCCAGTTGCTTCTCCCATCTTTGTTGTTATCGTTGTGCTTTATATGAACTTTTTTAAAAAAATTCCATATTTTTATTCCGATATTTTTATTTATAAATTGTACTCCTACTTAAAATCTTATAATTATTTTCTCTCTTCATAATTTATTTTAGTTGTTATTCTGAATTTTAATTAATCTCGGTCATGTGTTCTATATGGTTTATTCTTTCAATAGTTTTTATTTTTTATTACGAATTTTAGTTATTTATAAATTATATCTATAGTTGAACTCTTATTCTTATTTTTCTAATTACAGAATTTATTTTACTTTTTCTTTCGAACTTTAATTAACCTTTAACCTTGTGTTCTATATGGATTATTCTTTTAATACTCCGTCCATTCCATAATATAGCAACCTAGTATCGGATGAGACATTTCATATTACAATAAATTTAGACACCCTCTTGTCCAGATTCATTATACTATGAATTCATATCCCATCTGATATTGCTATATTATGGGACGGAGAGAGTATTTATTTTCTATTTTATATTTTAATTTCAGTTGTTTCAAAATTGTATTTCTACTTGAACTCTCTTTTTTATTTTCCTAATTTTGTATTTTATTTTATTTTTTATTATATATTTTAATTAATCTCGTATTAGATTCTCAGATGGATTCTTCTTTCAATATTGCTTATTTTCCATTCCGAATTTCAGTTATTTTGAAATTGCATTTCTACCTGAACTCTTCTTTTCTTTTCTAATTTTGAATTTTATTTTATATTTTATTCTGAATTTTAATTTCTCGTATTTAATTCTTATTTGGACTCTTGTTTCAATATTGCTTATTTTTAATTTCGAATTTTAGTTATTTTTAAATTGTATTTCTAGTTGAACTCTTATTTTTCTTTTTTTTTCTAAGTTTAAATTTTATTTTTAATTTCAGTTATTTTTAAATTGTATTTCTATTTGAACCTTTTTTTTTCCTTTTATCCGATTAATGTGGGAATTTTTATTTCCTTACCATGAACTTGGTGTCTCCTTAAGGGCAAGTTTTATGGTAGAGGTGACTACCATATCCAATTTCATACATGACATACATAATTAAATTAAGAGGTGATATGTATAATAGGCTATCTCTATCACATAATTCCCAATATCTCTAACACTCTCACATGTTTATTGAAGTTTGTGTAGGGGCTGCCCCTTGCATGAGAGGTGACTATTTCTCTCTCATCCTTCTTCTCTCCTCCACCTCACTATTTAGTCTTTTGTGTCATCTTGGGATTTATGTTTGAATGTCCATAGTACTTGCCCTAAGTTATCTACAGATACTCCGATACTTCGATCAGTTTGATGAGTAAAATTTTAGCACGACACTTCGAAAAGTTCATCACCGAGAAGTTGGCTACTCTAAAAAAAAGTTAGCATCTGGTACAGTGAGCTCGAATCTGAATCATTTTGGAGCGACCTTGACCGGAGCGAATCTGTGTGGTACACTTGCGGTTGTTTTTCGGTCAATCCCAATCCCCTGCATGCGCCCTTCCCTGCGCGCGTATGCATGTGATCGATCGATCATGAGCTCTCTGCTCTGTACATCTGGTACGTGTGCACGTGTGATCGTAATCTTGGTTTTACTAAAGAAGGAGATTTAGGCGTTGATCATTAGTAGAAAAGATTTAGGCGTTGATCTGTTCCTGCCAACGACGACCCGGGGGGAATCGATCGCCCGTATCTTATTGAAACCAATCGAACAATCTATCTATTAACTTATTAAAGTAATAGAAAAATAAGCATCCACGTTGGCTTTTACGGTCTAAAAATTATTATATTAATCGGAGAAAAATAAAAACAAATTCCATATAAAAATACAATTTAAAAAGTAAGGAATATTGGAAGAGGAGACTAGAAGCCTCCACGCTCGCTCTCCCGGCCTAGAAATTCTCATATTTAAAAAATAAAAACAGAGTCCATATAGAATACAATTTAGAAATAGCTAAAATTCAGAATTTAAAAAATAAACAATATTAGAAGAGGAGACTAGAATTCATGACGATATACAATTTAGAACTAATGAAAATTCGAAATTAAACAATAATAAAATTAAAATTAAGTTAGAGTCCATATAGAAATACAATTTAGAAATAACTGAAATTCGAAATTAAAAAATAAAAAATATTAGAAGAAAAGTATAGAGTGCATATAGAAATATAATTAAGAAATAATAGAAATTCGGAATTAGAAAACAACAGATATTAGAAGAAGAGTATAGAGTCCATATAAGAATTTAGAATGAACTAAAATTCGGAATAAAAATTAAAATTAAAGATAGAATTTAGAGTCTATATAGAAATACAATTTATAAATAATTAAAATTTGAAATTAAAAAATTTATGGAAGAAGAGTCTAGAGTCAATATAGAAGTAACTGAAATTCAAAAATAAAAAAAAAGAATATTGAAAGATGGGTTTAAAGTCCACATAGAAAAACAATTAGAAATAATGAAAATTCAAAATTTTAAAAAAAATATTGAAAAAAGAGCCTAGAGACTATATAGAAATACAAATTACAAATAACGAGAATTCAGAACTAAAAAAATGAGGAATATTGGAAGACAAGTCTGCAGTCCATATATAAGAATACAATTTAGAAATAACTAAAATTTGATATTAAAAATAATTAATAACTATCACGTATATACAATACAGTATGAGACAGTGGTAGTTTAGTAAAGTTAGTACAAAATTTAAAATTATGTTATCATTTTAATATATTTTAATAATAAATTGAGAAAACATATATGTGGCCACCGTGCTAGTTCTGGGCTGTTTAGTTGGAAAAAAATTTTGCTCCTGTATATCACATCGGATATACGGACACATATTTGAAGTATTAAACATAGTCTAATAACAAAACAAATTACAGATTTCGCTAGAAAACTAAGAGACGAATTTATTAAGCCTAATTAATCCGTCATTAGCAAATATTTACTGTAGCACTATATTGTCAAATCATGGCGCAATTAGGCTTGAAAGATTTGTCTCGCAATTTTCTGACGAACTATGTAATTGATTTTTTTATCTACATTTAATACTGTATGTATGTGTCTAAATATTTAAGGTGACAACGTGAAAAATTTTGTTTTGGACTAAGCAGGCCCTCAGTTGATCAGATGAGAGATCCACATGGAACACAGGACTCTGAACCATGTGATGATGTAACGTGGCGACGATCGAGGACACATAATTAAAAACTTGGCCGCGACACGTTTTTGGCAACTTCTACGCGCGGCCGTCGTCGTGACTCTCGCCATAGTTTTATCATCATCATCAGCGATCGATCGATCGAGTAGCCGAGTACAGTGACCGAGTAGCACTAGTGTACAGTGTGGCTCCTCGCTCCATCGATGGGTCGCGACAACGCCATAATTGGGGACATCGACAGAGTAGTTACGTGTACTGTAGTAGCGGAAGGGGAATCACGTTGCGGCCAGGTGATCGAGCTGCCGAAGCCGAGTGAAGTGGCGGGGCGGAGATCTCGTTGTCGATCGCGCAGCAGCAAAGCGGGTGCTCGGTCGCTGAGCCTGATTTGCTCCCTTGTCAGTCGCGTTGGTTGGCCTTGGGCCCTTGGGCCCGTTGCGACCGCGGCGTTGGTTCGCGCGGGCTTCCTTCCCACCCCGCGTTGGTGGGGGCGGGGTTCTATAAATACGGGACGCGACGCGATGTGCGGGGTCACTTCACTGCACGGCGTCGCGGTTTTCCCAAGCTGAGAGTTGTCGTGCGAGAGTGAGGAGCATGGCGATGCTGGGGAGCTCGTCGGCGGTGGTGCTGGAGCTGATGACGATGGGGTACCAGTCGGCGGCGTACCTCGGCGAGCTGCTCCGGGCGGCGTCCCCGGCGCAGGCAGGGGATGAGCAGCAGGAGCTCGCCGCGGAGATCCTCCGCTGCTGCGACCGCGTCATCGCCAAGCTGAACCGGGGAGGAGCCACTGGTGCTACTACCGGCAAGAAGCGGAAGGCGGCGGAGTCCGCCGCCGCCGCCGCCGTGACCTCCCCTTCTCTCCCCGTCACGCCGACCAAAAGAAGGTGAGGTTCCCCTTATTGTTTTTTGGCGCGGCTACCGCGAGACATATCGTGGTATCAAAAATCGAAAAAACCGTGTGGTAACCGTAAGATATATCGTGGTATTAAAAATCGAAAAGGTTACCGTGCATGATAACCGCGATAATCGTGTGGTAACGGTACGGTTTTGTACTCTATCATGCAAGGTAGTAACAGGTGATTTCTTGGTTTGGCGCAGGGCGCGTGGCGCGGAGGCGGTGAGGGAGGTGAGGAGCGGCACGACGACGGACGGGTTCATCTGGAGGAAGTACGGGCAGAAGGAGATCAATGGCTGCAAGCACCCGAGGCTCTACTACCGCTGCGCGTTCAGGGGCCAGGGCTGCCTCGCCACGCGGCGGGTGCAGCAGTCGCAGTCGCAGGACGACCCGGCCGCGGCGTTCGTGATCGCCTACTACGGCGAGCACACCTGCGGAGGCGACGCCGCCGCCGCCGCCGCGTGCCGGGACGGGGAACTAATGCCACCTGCCGTCATCAACTCCGGCGCGTCGAGCTTCGCCGCCGCTTGGAACATGGCCTCGCGTGAGCCGGCGTCGTCGCTCGCCGTCGAGCGGAGGAGCTGCGACGGCGACGCTCCCAGCGAGACGTCGCAGGGGTGGTCTCCCTCCTTCTCGTCGGAGGTGGAGCTGGACGTGGTGGGATTCGACCTCGCCGGAGCCGACTCGTCGGCGTCGCCGGTGTGGGAGTTCTTGAATGGCAGCTTCGACTGGGAATTCGTCATCAACTCCCTCTGAATTTTCGATGCTTCGTGATCAGTAGCACACCAGCTGCCCCAAGAGTGCAGTAGTCTTTGCAAAACGCACAAAATTTCGCGGGAACTATCGAATTTCCCGCGTTTGCGCTTAAGTTAATAGCCTCAGTAGTTCGTCAGATAATCGCACGCACTATTTTAATTCAGGAAGGGATTTAGATTGACAAAGTATATTAGGTGAGAGTTAATATGGGAGAATTCGTAATGAAGAGTTGAATGTGTTGACGTTGACGTACAGGGGAAAAACACATGCTAAGAAGAAAAATGGCAGGTGAAAGGGGCAAGAAATGGCAAAGCTGAGCAACAGAGCAGGTAATAATAGAGAATTGCTACTCCTACTACTTGCAAGCATATATGTCCAGAAGAGCAGCCAAAGAGAACACAAGACCGTCAGCTTGACGCATAACTGACGCACTTCTGATGGTAACAAAAAACCGGCCACCATGTCCCATGTGAACGAATGGATTCATTAGTTGTAATAATGGTAATAGTAGTGACACTCAATTGCAATATCATGCTTGGTACAGGGTTAAGGATCAGATGGTTAGTTTAACCACCAATAGCAACAAGCTGAAACGAATACTGGTTTTGCTGGATTTCACTGGATGTTGTTGAATATCACAAGCTTAGAGCACAACAACGTTGCATCAAATAAACAGAAGAAACAGAAAACAGCTAGGTACATCTATGACCTTTGGAGGTCAATTTCTTATTGTTGTTCGAGGCGAATGTGTATATTACATGGGGAGAACAAAGGAGCGCAACTGCGAGGACGAGTATGCATGCAAGTCGTCTTCTGAACCCAACCGTCAAAGTCCACAGCCACTTGGGGACTAAAGACAAACTAGGGTTGCTTGAGTTTGATGGGGATGGAAACGGAAAGCAAATGGGCCAGTCAATCTTCAAACCCAAGTTCCTGTGATCATCTGATTCATCCAGGGTGATGTGTAACCTAGAGAAATGCCATGTTGTGAGTTCAACGACAATTGGTTTTATCATTTATGCGTAACATCATGTAACTAGTTCAGTTATCATTTATCAAAGCACATAGGCAGTGTTTATAGACCTATTTGTATACTGTACATGCATGGGAAAATAGCATGAAAGTAAAACTGTCAAGTGTTACCATTAGTTCTCTGCAGTACTCTCGGAGCTTGGACCTTTGTGACCACCAGTCATAATACGATGAGTGTAAAAGGCTGTCACCGCCCCACTGCAGAACAATTCAAAACTAGTTTAAAAAAATAAAGGTTTTCATACATACAACAAATGTATTTCTTCTGTATAAGCTTAAAATGGCCATAGTGGCTAGGACCCCAATAAAAAAAAACTGTGATATGTGACACGCCCCTAAAGAAATAAAACACAGCACGATAACCACTGAATGAACAACTTCAAAATGAAACCTAGTAAGTCATTGGAGATTTGGAATAATCATGGCCAAATATATTGTTTGCCATCAACTACTTACAGGTCACTGCATTTAAAGGAACATTGCTCATGTTTGGTTTGACAAGTTTAGTTTTGAAGCAGCACACAACGTGCCAACAGTTTTATTACTCCCTCCTTCCAAAAGTCTAAGACCTATTTCTTTTTGCACCAAGACCAAGAAGCAATTAATTCATTCACTATGTATACAACCAATAAGTAATAGAATGACTTCTTGGGAATTTAATTTAGCACATGGTGACTACAAATAGGACTTGGACTTTTGGAAAAACCAAAGAATGAAATAGGTCTTAGACTTTTGGAAGGAGGGAGTATAAAAAATGGAACTATTAACTGTGGAAAAAAGAAGGCACTCAGGTGATATTCAGCGAAAAGTAGTATTTGTGACAGATGTAAAAAAAAAACTGTCAGACTGTCACATTGGATTGCAGTCTAGGTGATAGATACAGTTTGGGGAAATGTACAGTAAATAAGAAGAAATCTATAAGAAAAAACACAGGATAACAGGAACATCAAAGGCATATGGGTAAGAAAATTCTTGTATAATCAAGGCAAATTCTGTACAAGGAATTGACGCTTACTAGTCATAGAAAGAAACTGTTTTTAAGAAATCTCATCGTAGGAACCAAAAATATGCAAGGATCACCACATTACATGTTAACACATTGCTAGATGTCTGTTAGTCAATATCAGAGCAAGTACAAAAATTAAGCATGCACTCACCTGAGAAGGACCACGAAAATATTTGGAAACCACCCATACTACACCATATAACAAATAAAAAAAGGTTAAAACTAAATTATGGTGGTGAGAACAAGTATGAATATTAGAATTTAGCAATGCAATTGAAGGCAAAGAAAGAAATCATACGTGGAAGAAAATTAATAATTCCCTGAAGAAGATGACACTTGCAATTGCTGCATGAAAGTCAAATATGTCAATAAATTTGCAATGTAAAAGGACAACAATCCAATGACTTGGTTCAGCAAGCTAAATCATGGGTTCATTTTTCAATGTAAAATGATGATGAATTCTTAATTTCCAATTAGATAATAGCTAGAAGTCTGAAATATTCATACTTGTCATCCCTGTTTGATTTAACTTGAACTAATATGGATATATCCAGTAACTAGACATGTCACATAAAAACAGAGAACATGAGTATCAAGGATCAACACAAGAGACCAGCTATGCTACTCTTATGCCACTTAAATTATGAAAAGGGCATACAAACTGAAGAGAAGAAAAGACAGAAGAAATGAACTAACCAGCTTGTCCTTTCAGCAGAAGACGAGGACGACGGCCACCTGCTCTTTGAGATCTCAAACTTGAGATGCCCATAGCTAACAGCGCAAAGCCAAGAATAATACCAAAACGAATTGCAGATGTCCTCCCAGTAAGCATGAAGTTCAGGAAACCTCCTACGGTAAGAAAGGTACCTACAAAAAACAGGGCAGGTCCATGAACTAAAGTTGAGAACCTACATAACAAGGCAGCATTAAAGTGCCTACACAACGAATGACACACTTTCTCGGTTTATTACGTGTTTGTCAATTCCCCAGTATCAAATTAATTATCAACGGAAATTCTACAAAGAAAAATATGTAATGCATTTTAGTTACCAAAGGGAATGCCCACGTGATAATCCTCATACTCTGATATCTTCAACTTGCCAAGAGAATTGAATGTCTCGATAATATCCTTAATTGAGTCTGGCGAGTTTTGAGCCGCGAGTTTTAGATACTCCTGTCCCTCCTCACCAACCTCTGTGGCAATCACGCTGAGATCCTTCTGTGCTTTGTCTGCGTGGATCTTCAGCTTCTCTGAGGCCTCTAATAGCACCTCCCTTGCCCTCTGGGAGTAGACACCATACGCCTGCAATGTCAGGCCGTGCATTCGCTGCGCCTCATCCTTGAACTGCTTAAGCATCTCCTTCCACACTTCTTGAGCTTCCTCAGGCTTCATCTCACCCTTCCCTTTTTCCTTGTCATCACCCGATTCTGAGCCCACCTGAATTCAGGCAAACTCAACCACATAAGTTGTGAACTCTAGACAAATGTTTTAAGCACCACAATTTAGCAACAGAATAAACAAGGAATTTGCCACAAGAACTCAGTTCAAAACCCTGACGAAACGCACCGACATTAGTCAAACATGGGATTTATTTAGCGCAATGAACTGATCAAGACATTTGGCATCTCAAAAAGCGCATTAACATTAGGCAAAACTGTTTGGTATGCATTACGTATTTACGCTTCGAAATAGTCAGACAAAAATCACTTGACGCAGCAAAAAATTGTAAAAGCACACCGAGATTATGTCATCCGCGCATCACGCACAGAAAATGGGAGGGGAAAAAAAACTAGTCAACCAAATAAAACCACACAGATCGGATTGACAGTAACAAGAGGAATACGATAGAAGCAGCCACCAGCGGGTAGGATCTCGAAAGGGCGAGACTACTCACAGATTCCTCTCCGGCGAAGGTGGCGATGACGCGGCGAGTCCGCGGGGCGCCCCATCCGGCGGCGAGGCGTGACCCCGCCGAGAGCGCCCTGAGCGGGGCGTCGAGGCAACGGCGGCGGCGGGTGGAGGGGGAGGAAGCGGTGGCGCACGCCAGGCGCAGGAATGGGGAGGAGGAGGCGAGCGGGTGGAAGGCCCCCACGCGGGCGGCCGGCGCGGGGGAGGCGGAGGCTGCCGCGGCGTGGACGAGCGAGGCGGCCATGGGGGGGGGGGTGGGGCGCTCCGCGGCTGCGCCCCTCGGGGAAGGCGGGCGGCGGCGGCGGGGACGCGACGGCGGAGGCGGGCGGCACGAGGGGAACGCGAGGAAAATGGGGGAAGAAGAAGAAGAAGAGTTTGGTGGGGTTTTCGTGTGAGGGGGCTTTCGGTTTCGGAGCTCTCGGAGGTGTTTGTGTAATTGTGTTTGGTGGGCTGGAATTCGTTTCGTTTTCAGCTGTTTCAACCAGGTTTTTTAAAGTGGACGTTCTGTCAATCAAACCTTTGGCCTTGTGCTCGCGGCAAGAAAATATGCGCCGTCCATTGGTGTAGTAACAGTATTTCACTCTCGAATCGGATCCTCTACATCGAGCAAGAAAAATGCAGTGAAGCTACAGTATATTTTTTTTTGGCCGTTCAATTTATATCAGTAAATAGTCCAGGTGATATGCATATAAGCGCAGGGCACGAGGGCCAAAGCGAGAATTAACGTGGGGGCAAATGGATGGTTGCTTGAAAACACCCAAAGATCACAATTAGATGTATCTCTTTTGCTCATAATTATATGCACTCCATCTCTTTGCTCAAAGGACAAAGGTATACTTTAAGGTGACCATGCCCAATGCTGATTGCTTCAACAAGTTAAAAGATCACATAAGCATAAGCTAGCACACGTCTCCTACAGTAGAGATTGTCGACTGTGTACTGCTGATGCAGTGGCAGGCACTGACGTGTGGGGGCAGACCAAAACAAAACCGTAAGAAGCCCTGTGGATGTTATAGCTGTTTTTTTTCCCTGAATCTGAAACACTAGAATACCTAACCGATTGAATCTCAACTATGAGCCCAGCCTGAACTTTCTTTTTCAGATACATACCCAGTTTCATTTCAACCACACAGATTTCAATCGATTCCTTTATTGATTACCGCAATCAAAGCTTCTCCAGGAGGGGCATTTGCCCTCCTCATGGAGCAATGTCAGCACGATGGATACAAAGAAAAAGACTCAAATGACATACATTGCTTATGCCAAGCTGTTGCATGTGAGACATAAGACGGAAGGCAGGCAAAAAGAACTCCACAAGAAAGAAATCGATACTCATGGCCTCATGCTAACCCTCGAAAGAAGCAAGGTATTGCTCCTGAGAACAGCTACCAGCAATTACTTTGATTTTGCCGATTAGAATTGCATTGATTAATTTGAATTAAATGTCTAAATGGTAAAGAGAAATTGACTCATCAGAAATCCTGCCTGAAAACAACCGTGTTCATGAAGGATTTTGCATTTGGTGCAAGGTAATACAAATGTTCTTCACATTGGCTAGTCAAAATTTTCTATTAGATATCACAGTAGATGGACGCTACGCTGACAACAGTTGATAGGGCATGTAATAAGATGCAAGATGAAATAGTACATCCACCTAGCATGTGTTATAGCACAACAATGTTTGGAATCTGTTAAAATAACTGCTCACTTAATGCTCGCATTAGGAACAGAAGATCTACATGGACCAGCAGATGTAGTGAAGGGTACCCCTCGGTATGTTGCAATTCCATTTCCATCAGTGTGAAGATCCTGGGTGCATGATAAAATTTAATTATTGGTTGATTCATGCAGTATATATACAAATGGATACACAACAGCCTTCAAGAGCACTCAGCGCATAGCAAACACGATTTGTGAATTGTCTGTATTTAATTATTGAATTTGTTAAGGCAATGTAAAAAATGACACCCAGATGTGCAAAAGAAATGACAACTGATTTAATTCACCCAGATTGTGCTGGAAGGGCAGACTAATCATGTGATTGCTAAAAGGGAAAAATAACTTAGAGCATCATGCAAAAATAGCGCATTGGTAAAAGCATACCGGTGTGATCTTGTCGAGCTGTTTCTTCTTCGGATTAAGAACATCTTCTGGCTTCCCATCAAACCTATATGTGAAGGATAAGTAATTTAACTGAACTGAAAGGTGGACAGTTATAAACATTTTTTTTCTTCACAAACGGTGCAGGACACCAAACACAATCAAATAATTTCTACAGCACAAGACACTACTAATAACAACCGAAATGCTAACTACGCTAAAATATTATTTTCCTTGAAAGACGACAGAAAGATCATCACACAACATGGGTCCATCCTGTTTGGACTTCCCTTACGACCAACATATTAGGGGACAACTTGTATAACAATCTAAAAGACAGTAATTGCATATAAGCTTGTGCAAGCTGACTTTAAAGCCATGAATGCAAATAGGTCAAATTGAACAGAACATGCTCCCCAGAACTGCACAAACACGTTTTTTAAAATTTTAATGCAGATATCACATCTATACAACATAATTCTTACCCTGCAAATGAAATACGCTCTCCAGGCTTAGCTCCTTCTGGAGGAATCAATGGCTCTACAACTGTATGATCTTGATTTGAAGCACACAAGACCTGGCAATATGTTCAATGTGAAAACAACATTTGGAAATTAGGACTTCCTAACTTAAAGTTTATATTCCTACCATTTCTAAGACTGGAGAAAGAACACAAATGACTAAATAAGTGATACCAAGCACATGGTGAGGCTTCACTTCTAAAATAGTTCATTGTTTCATCAGTGAGAAGTGTTACATTGCCTATTTTAGATGTACTACAGTAGACTTCAAGAGCATACACATGACCTAATGATTTGGGGTCTACAGCAATGCCTATTTAAAGCTAGTATTCCATCATAGGCTCATGGATCTTTTGTCACATGTTGGATGTAGTTTATAAATCAACTGCTTGACACATATCAAGATGCTTTGCCTGTACACGAGCATAAATATAATTTATGGAATAGAACATACCAATCCGGCAGACATTACGTCTCGCAGCTTCCCAGGCTTCACATTCGTGATTAATACAACATGCCGATTCTGTGAAGGAAAAGGCAGTTGTTTATTACAGAAAACAGAATCTTGGATGAAACAATTTCATGGCAAGAAAAATGAACAGGAATAATTCAAGTCCATTGTTGCTGTTAAATACTCACAACAAGTTCCTCTGGGCTGAAGAACTTGGCAAGCCCACTAACAACTTGATGCACATTGCCATCTCCCAAATCTATCTCCTCAACCAAGAGGCTGAAAAGAGAGACCAGTTAGAATATTTGTTCAAAGAGCACAATACAACTGTTGAACCATTTTGAATTGTTGCATAAGCAGAAAAGTTATGGGTACCTGTCAGCAGATGGGTGCTTCCATGCTTTGCGAATAAGGCCAACCTGTATATTCAGGATACTGACATTGCATTCTGAGTCCTTTTCTGCAGTTTTCTGTGGAGCTTTATCCGCAACTCCCTCATTTGGTTTTCCTGCAGATTTCTCCTGGGCTTTCTTTTTATCCCCAGAAGGTTTGTTATTTTTTGCTGGAGTAGGATTTGCCTTATTCTCAGGAGCTTTATTCTGATTCAACCAACAAAGGAACTAATCAACTAACTTGAAAGGGGAAAAAAATAGCTTCCACAACAGATATCTGTACATCATAAAGCATTTTAATACTTTATGTGCTGATTAAAGAGCTTTATTGGACATAAAGTCCACAGAGTTTTGTTCTGCATTTGCACATGAGACCCTACATGAATTGCAGCTAGAGAAGAGTTGAAAATGCAATAATATCAATTCCAGCCAAATCTTCAAAGTAACATGAATTACCAATACCTCTCTGAGATAATATCATACTAATCCAGAACTGCAAAGTACTAGTGATAATTGGCATAATTGCATAATGAACTACCTCTGGTGCAGCTTTCTTGGAATCAACATTTGCATCCGATTTGCCCACATTCTTCTGTCCTGAAACAACTTTCTTTGAACTTGGATCAGTGTCACCTTTATCTGCCTTCTTTGGATGCTGTCACACAGAAATAGGAAATTGTACAATTACTCCTCAACAAATTTGTTTATTCAAATAGCATACTGAACAGGAAATACTGTATGATTATTTTACAAAAATTGTTGATATTTATATTTCTTCCCAGCACTATGGCACTTCCACAGATTATGTCAGTAGTTCTTACAAAGGTTTTATATCAACCAGATCCTAAACATAAACTGATATGAACATGTACAGGTATTTTCAGACCAAGCACAAAATTGTATTTAAACACAGTAGGTTGCATTAAGTTGACAGAGTTAATTTTCTTCAACTCTGTCTCTTATAACATCTGAAAGTATACAACAAAGGAATTCAAGAATATGTGTACCCCCAAAATGTAATACTTCTAGCCCACATTGGGAAAGGATCTTTACTTACAGAAGGTGGATCGAAGACAGATTTGGTCAAGTTAACCTTTTGTACTGTTGTGCCAAAATCAACGATGTTCTGCGTCAATCAGTAAGTACTCACATAAGATGTAAAAATAAAATGGTAATATGGGTCTGATTATTAAGGTATAAAGTATGAACAAACTGGTAATAAGACCAGGCAACAAACAAGGAAAAAAAACATGGTATGTGCATTCACCTCAGTGCTGGTATACCACAGAAAGCAACATAGGGGACTGTCAAGAGAAACGGTAAAAAAACTATATGCGTTTGGTTATTTTATCCAGAATGAAGGGCACATGTACTTCATGTTGACAACATATAGCAACAAACTACTACTTCCATTCCAAAATATAAGCAAATCTAGGTTTTCTAGCAAAGACTAAGGTTAAGCAGAAAAGACTATGATGCCCCTCATAAATTAGGGTGGTTGGTGAGTGAATTAGTACTCTAGACGTGCTTATATTTTGGAACAAATTTCAAATGCTAGATGTGCTTATATTATGGCACGGAGGTAGTATGAAAAAAGATACTAACAAAGTATGATAGTACAAAATAAATAAAGTTTTATTTCGAACCTGGATATAGTCCATCCACCGCAATACATGTGGATATTTCTGCAACTCGTTTTCACCAAGATGACTCTGAAACAAGCAGTAAAAGGTTAAAATCTCAGAACTTCTGCTTTTATGAATGACCATTGATGGTGGTCATACAAATGAGTAATCACATCATACTTACCACAAAAACTTGTATGGTTGCAAACACAACAATATCAGCAACTGATGGTTTAAAACCATTACCCAACAGAACTGATTTCTGGGACAAGTCTTGATTCAGATTACCAAGCAATGCATGCTGTTCTCCACATTTTCCAACAAAATTGCTGGAAAATTCAACCCATTTCAGTACCTATCAGTGAAGAAATCTGTCAATATATAAGTAGTACTACGTGTTATTAGTGTACATGCGTGGAAAAACAGTTACCTCATCTTCACTCGATTTCACAATATGTGAGAACAGGGTGGCAATATCACTCTCTTCAATACTTGTACTGGATATTGTATTCTGTAATATTCAGCGCAGAAATTAGTAGAAGCTTCCAGCCCAGGTAGAACTCAATTGTGCAATTGGAGATTTATAAGAGTGAGCCAGGCAAAGTTTGTCCAAATGAACTAGTAATGAACGGTGAACTGTGAAGTGCATATAAGTGGGCCAACAGTGTAGCAATACAACAAACGTTGTGCCTTGTACACCAGTCAAATATTCAAGTCAGATTTCAGGAGTATCAAGTCCATGACCAGGCACCAGTTAAAGAAATAGAGTAGGCACTATGTGAACTAAGGTAGCAAGCTACTTAATTAAGAGCTGACTACAAGGGCATATGTTGCATTTGGTAAAAGCGTTTGCACATTGATTCTATTGGAGTATTAGAGTAACTGTTACAATTTACAAGGTATAGACTGTGACATAGTACTATGTGGCAGGCAGCAGCCAAAAACATTGGAAGCTAACTAGATTAATCATCTAATTGCACTGCTTAGAGTAATTAAGAGAACTAGAGAAGCACGAAGCTAATCAACAGCAAGGACGATCCTGTTCAATCCTGGACTCATGGTTTGCATAGTGGATATAGTATATGATGCAAAAAATCCACTACTGCTCCCATCAATTCACGGCCTGCCACAAATCGAACAATTGTACAGCAGATAACTGCATATCTTTCGACTCCCCAACTACGTACTATACGCTTGAAGTAACCATACCCTAAATCCGACAGCACAATACAATCGCATTATGAGATTCACCTCACGAGTCTATCAAATACTAAATACTACTACTACGAGTGAACTAATCCCCCCGAAGAACTTCAACAACCAAGACCTCAACACGGAAATATAAGAAAATCGGCCTTTAGCCTGCACAACGACAGCACTAAACAACAACAATAGCAGGAGAAAGCTTTTGCTTCGAAGCGACCAGAACAGAAATCCACGGTTTTATGGCTAGAGAGTCGGGGAATCACCGGATCGAGGCTGAGGTGCTTGCAGAGCGCGTAGGCCATGGCCCGCTTGCTCGCCGCGAAGTCCGCCGCCGCCGCCGCCATTAGCACGTCGAGAGAGGTTGCGCCGAGCTTGGGGGTGAGATGGGGGAAGTGGAGAAGAGGGCAGAGATGGTTAGGGTCAAGTTGCAGTTGGAGCGGCCAATGGGCCAATGGCCCAATGGATGCTGGCCTTCGGAGTGAATTGGGCCGTACTGAGGCAATATTTGGAGCGTTTTGAGCCCACGGGCTTCTTTTCTGATTAATTTACGAACTTCACTTCCTGTGCTAGTTGCGCCCGAGAGCTCGTGGCTGGTATCGAGCTCGGCTTAGGGGGAGAACAAGTTCTTTTCTTAAACTCCAAACTTCATCTTACTTATTTTTCGTCAATATATTTTTCTAACTATTAAATGATACGTTTTTTAAAATAAAATATAGAAGTTGTTTAAAAAAATTAAAGAAAATCATTTTTTAAATTTATAATAGTTAATATTTTATTAATTACATGCTAATGAGTTTTATCGTGCGCTAAAAATTTCTGTAGTGTTGGATGGAACGAACGCAGCCATCTCGTAATCTTCATTCACCATTTTCCACTGCGCTCCCTTTGTTTCTTAAAGAATGAATCGTCATGTAGTACCACAGTATCATCCATGGCCGCTTCCGCCCAAGGAAACAATCTAGCAACCGAAACATGCAGGAACAACATAAGCACACAACTTTAGCCGCAGAATCTGATCACCGCAAATTCACATAACATGTCGCTATGTACATGGAGATGAAATCTCCTCTCTCTTTCACTGTCTTATACCAAAGCACGAGTGAAAGCAAGGTCAAGGGGGTTCGGAGATAAAAATTCCGAACCCCCGTAGCCGGGTTTACTCTTTTGGGTTCTTTCTCGAACGATGTCACTAGGGTTTGAAGATTAGTTGACGAGGGCAAACGCGGCGGAACAGAATTTTAATCTCCGGTCATGTTTTTCTCTTTCTTAATCAACGACTGAGGCTGTGTTTAGTTCAGCGCAAAGTTTGAATTTTTATTGAAATTGGAGATGATGTGACTGAAAAGTTGTGTGAGTATGACAGGTTGATGTAATGGAAAAGGACTGAAGATTGGATCCAAACTTTGGATCTAAACACAGCCTGAATGAGGCTAAGAGCAAAGTATAGCCAACTACTAACTCCAATTCATCTATAGCCAATCTAATAGCTCATTCATCAATAGTTGCATACTACACTATTAATACCTGGTCCCACCAGTCATACACACACTGCGTCTTGGAGTCCGTGCTACAGCTGACTACAAATCTGTAGCCCGCTGCTCTTCTTTCTCCTTATTTATCTTCTTAAAATATGTTTGCAGCTGGCTTATAGCCTGCTATTGTACCTGCTCTAAAGGGGTTGTACGTGAGTGGCTGCACCTGGCTATTATTGTGCCACTAGTACTCCAAACATGTTAAGTGAATTTATACGCGTGCTAAAAAAGCCGATGATATACTCTATCTCCATCCATAAAAGTTAGACATGTTTCACATTTGAGTTTTTCAAATAAGTTGTTCTTATTTGTAGTCTTTATACATCTAAGACTTAAATGAAGAGATAAATTAAATGTTTGTGAGAACCCAATGAGTAATCTAAATATTCATTGATTGCTTGTTTACATTTACTCGTTGATTTTGTAACATCCAAGATGATTTAATTTCTCCTTGATCTTGGTGACAAAAGTAATATGTGCAACTTTTGTGGATGGAGGAAGTTGTCGACATTTGATGTCGCGATTTCAGTATTTGCATAGTATGGGGATCGTTGGTACTAGGATATACGCGAGATTGTAGTAAAAGAGACAGAGACGAGGATTTTTATACAGGTTCGGGCCCCTGAATTGTCAGGTAATAACCCTACATCCTGTTGGCCGAAGCCGGTCATTGCTCTTATTCACCATAATCACACCAATACAATACTTGGGGTAGCCTATCTAACTGTTGTCGACTTGGCGGTCTGAAGTTCTAACTCATAGTCGACACCAGGGTAGACTTCCTCCTCGAATCCGCATCCGGCGAGATCAGAGATAGCGTTATGTCTCTCCTGACGGTAGCCATAGGCACCGTAGGGGACTAGTCATGCCTATCTCTGAAGTTGATATCTGGCGTCTTGTCTTGGCGTATGTTGGCTTGTATGTTGATCTTCTGTCTTGATCTATTGTTCCGTGTCTTCTATGGTGGGTGTGTCCCCTCTCCTCCTAAGGGGCCTTGTAGTTATACCCATAGGTGTCCCCTTGTCCAAGCAGAACTAGGAAAACCAATATGGATACAATCTGAGAGTTCTTGTCGTTTCCATGTAGAACTCTGGTTCTCTTTCCTTATTCGGAACTCCCTCCATATCCGAGGTCAGTTTTCGTATAAGACATGGTATATGGTGGGTCATGCCGAGATTTAGTCGACTACTATTAGGTATGTGGTACCCATAACCCTGACAGAAGTATTATACAGTATATCATCTAATCACCTAGATTGACTAGACTCTCGACCATGAGTCGGAGTCTAGCGTATTCATATATCATCCATGGCTACTGCCGAGGACAGAAACAATCTAGCGGATGAAGCATGCATGAATCAGCACAAAGATCGGCCAACAATAAAGGCGGTGTTCTTTTCTCCTAAAGATAAAGATTAAGTTTTTTACGCAAAACGAGGTAATATTAACGTATGATTAATTGAGTTTTAATTGTTATAAACTTGAAAAAAAGATTAATATGATATTCTAAAGCAACTTTCATATATAAAGTTTTCACACGAAACACATCGTTTAACGATTTAAAAAGCGTGCCACGAGTATCTAAAATTTTATCCAACTTTTGTTGCAGAAAGAACAGGGAAAATTACATGATGACTACCAAAGCATCGAGGTCAAGGGGATCGGAGGTTAAAACTCCGAGTCTTATTAGCCGATTTTCTAATTTTAATCTCTGGATATGTTTTTTTCTCCTTTTTAATTATAACGAATATATACGAGGCCAAATGGGTCCAATGGACTGGGATTTTGTTCGGCTCGTGTGCTCGTGGCGACTCCGAGACGCCCACAACGTGCCCAACTACCACGTAACACTAGACTACTAGTATGTGCATCACGTACTAGTCAAACAGCATGCAAGAGTGGACGACACATGCAGCCCCCACACCCTCCCCTCCCCGTAGCAGCACAGCACTGTTGTTGCTGTCTGGTTGACGGCTGACACGATCGATTGCGGACACAATCTAATGGGCGAGCTGTGTGGGGCGAAGCACCCACACAATCTAATGGGACACATTTTGTTTCCACGGCCACGACGCTCACAGGGCTCTATTTGGAAGATTAGTCCAGAGCTAATTTTGACAGCTAATATTTAGTCATAAATTGTTAGGCTAAACATTAGCCTATGGTGGTATATTTGGATCTATGGGCTAATTCAAGGCTAAAAGGTGGGGAGAGAGTAGAAAGAGAGGAGAGAGAAGGAGAGAAAAAGCTGCTTTTTGATAGTCCCCACATAAAATTAGCCCCATCAGCACCCCTTGGAGGGGCTAATGTTTTGAGGGGGGCTAATTCACATTAGCTTAAAATTAGACCACATGTTTAGATCCTTGAGGACTAATTTAAGACTAAAAGGTGAGAGCTAAACATTGGCCCATGAAACCAAACAGGACCCAGGCTCACACCCACACACACCACCACCCTGCCGCCCACCATAAATGAGCGCCCCCGAAGCCCCAAGCCCCTGCCTTCGCCGTTCGCCATCGCACACACCGTCCCACCACGCCGCATCCGCATCCGCATCCGCGACCGCGGCGCCCAGGTGCGCGGGCGCCTCTCCTGCGAAACGGGCAAAAATCACGGGCTCACAGCACGGTAGGAGTACTAGGGCAGACGACCGTTCACGGCACGGCACGGGACAGCGCGCGCGCGTCGTCCACGGAACATCTCGGGATACGGTTTTTCTTCGTAGGAGAAGCCCGTAGGACAGTAGGACAACATGAGTAGCGTTTCTTTTTTTGTCGTGGTCAAACCATGTGTCGTCAATTGGCATTGGTCCGAGTGCGAGCCGATTTCATCGATCTCCGATTTTTTTTTTTAGAACTTTCCTCTCCGAATCTTCGCAACAGCAACGCGACAAACCCGCCCCAGCGACCCCCGCGGCGGCCGTGACGATTTTACCATCAGTTGATTGCCGTTATCACAGGCTAGGCTAGCCTCTTTGACACTGCTCGTTCCATCAGTTGAGTAGAAATGATTTGGTTTTGACAAATCACTATCTATTACATATATACAGGTAATTTTTAGGGCAATGCACTGGCTCCGGTTTTTGGCACAGCTACAAAGGTGTGAGGATGATGGGGAATTCCTAAAGGCTGCATGCCGCAGGTTGGAGTCGATGGTTATGCAACTATTTGCCAATTATGGGTGGAGGTTCACAAATAGACTTCAATAAATGTGTTCTCCTTATTTTGGCTTGGTTACCATTGTTTTTGTTTAGTGTGTTCTTTTTATCTGAACTACACTTTTTTTTGAAGTGCTACTTTATAATAATTGGTTGTAGCTTTTTTTTAGCAAAGGCTGGGATGTTATATTTCATTATCTAAAAAAAATCGTTTATTCGAGGCCTCGTGACGTGGCCCTTTAAGCAATGCACTCTTGAGTAATGAGTAGTGCTCATTACATCTTGACGACAATCGATATCATATTTTGCTATGGATGTTCCTTCTGAGTGAATCAAAAGCAAAAGTCCTACTCCAGATAATGAATCACACTTGCAATAATCCACTCTAAGAACATGGTAGTACTGCTATACTAAAACGATGGAGTAATTAGTGAAACCCTAACGATAATGGTATTTTTCATGATAAGTTGGTTTGGATAACAATATTTGTTGTACAAATCAACTTGCATCTCTTTGTTAACCTCATCACATTTTAGCGGAGAGAAATTAGTGAAACCCTAACGATAATGGTATTTTTAATGGTAAGTTGGTTTGTACAACAATATTTGTTGAAATTGCGTTCGTCGATAGTATTTTTAGAATAGGACGTTTGCCAATGACATTTGTTGCATTTTTTACATATCTAAACTGAAACGGAGAGAGTGATGGATTTCTACCGTCTATTGAGGCCTTGTTTAGTTCCCAACTTTTTCTTTAAACTTTCAACTTTTCCATCACATCAAGGATGTGTTTAGTTCTACGCTAAAATTGGAAGTTTGAAGAGAAAAGTTGGAAGTTTATGTGTGTACAAAAGTTTCGATGTGATAGAAAAGTTGAAAGTTTGAAGAAAAAGTTAGGAACTAGGCCTAAAACTTTCGTACTCACATCAACTTCCAACTTTTTTCTTTAAACTTCCAATTTTGGTGCGGACACTCGGTATATTATAGCACTGTTCTGATTTGAATCTTCATCATCACACCCTCAATAATTTGTTCATTGCATGGATTCATTCTGTCGGTCCTTTTTCTTTTTACGTGGCTGTCTTTCTTTCATTCTTTTTTTTTTTGCCGGCAACGAAACAAAGTAGGAGCAGTCGAGCACTCCACTCCAGGCAAAGGTGTAATTGAGTTGCTCCTGCAATACAAGCATCCTTCAACCTTACTCCTGTTTTATCCTGAGCATGAAAAAAAAAGAGGAGCAAATTGAAACATGTATCCTACAGAATCTGAATATAAAGATTCCCAAACCCAAAATCTTTGAATATTTCCCGAGCTCCCAGCTTAATCTTTGAATATTTCCTGAGCTCCTAGCTTAGGGTGTGTTTTAGTTCACGCTAAAAATGAAAGCTTGATTGAAATTAGAACGATGTGATGGAAAAATTGGACGTTTAACGAAAATGTTGCGAACTAAACCAGGCCTTAGCACAAATCGAAACGGCGTCCTCACACCAACACCACCGCACCACAGCACTGTTGCTGCGGCCGATGCCATGAAAGCCCCTGCCCTCTTCTACGTTTACTGCGAAGCTATGAAGCTACTCCACTCCTGCAGATCAGGGAGGAGGAAAGGTAGAGCGAGTAGTAAATGCAGCCCGCTTGCCACGCACTCCATCCACAGTTGCACGAGGTGGAAGAAGAAGGGGAGGAGGAGCAAAAGGGTAGGTGCTGCAATTAAGGCCATCTATTCAATTCCTGTGGTGGTGGTGGTGGTGGCCGCCGGAGTGGTGCGGCAGCAGGCAGGGCCCAGGCTCACACCCACCCACACACCACCACCCCTTCTAAAAAACGTCGACGAGAACCGGGCTCCCAACTGACGGTCACGCGAGAGCTGCACGAAACGAGCCTCGACGACGATCCCATCCGTCCGTCCGTCGCTGCGGCTGCTGCTGCTGCCGCCACAGGCGGTCAGAGCCTCTGGCACGATGCCAACACGCGGGCACGTGGTAGGGCAGCACGGGCCATTCAGGTGGTGTTTGGATCCAGGGACTTAACTTTATTCTCTATATTTAGACACTAATTTAAAATATTAAATATAGATTACTTACAAAACTAATTACATAAATGAAAGCTAATTTGTGTGATAACTTTTTTAAGCTTAATTAATCCATAATTAGAGAATGTTTAATGTAGCATCACATAAGCTAATCATGGATTAATTAGGCTCAATAGATTCGTCTCGCGAATTAGTCCAAGATTATGGATGAGTTTTATTAATAGTCTATGTTTAATATTTATAATTAGTGTTCAAATATTCGATGTGATTATAAACAGGGTCTCATTGCCCATGTTTTTGGAAGCTTCAAAGGACAGGTGAGTCCATGGATCCTCGCGCAAATGGGGGCACCCCTGCTGGAGGGAAGGCAGAGGGATACTGTTCCCTATTCCACAGGGTCAACGGCTGCCAAAACTCTACCAATCATGAAACAATGCCAAGCTTCAAGTGATGGTTCAGTACTAGTAGTACTACTGTACAACATTAGCATCTCTTGATTATTTTCTGTACATCTTTTGTGATTTACTTTAGTCACTGGTGAAGTAAAATACAGTACCCCTAATTCAAGTACAAACACCCTGCTGTGGCTTGGGCTGTTGGTATTGACACTCACCAGTACAGTGGAGTCAAATCTACCACACATTTGAAAGCAAAAATGTTAGAGCAACACTACTAAGGGTGTGTTCGGACCCAAGGGTTCCCAACACCTCTCCATCGTTTTCCGCGTGCACGCTTTTCAAACTGCTAAACGATGTGTTTTTTACAAAAAGTTTCTATACAAAAATTGCTTAAAAAAATCATATTGATTCATTTTTGAAAAAAATTAGCTAATTTCTAATTAATCATGCGTTAATAGACCGCTCCGTTTTCCGTGCGAAGAAGATTTGTTCCCAACCTCCCCCAGCAAACACAGCCTTGTTTGGGTGATAGAGAGTAAGAATGCACATCGTTTTCCGCGCACACGCTTCCCAAACTACTAAACGGTGTGTTTTTTGTAAAAATTTTCTATATGAAAGTTGCTTAAAAAAATCATATTAATCTATTTTTAAAATTTAAAATAGTTAATACTCAATTAATCACGAGTTAATGGCTCACCTCGTTTTGCGTATCTTCCCAATCTCCTCAATCCTCTTATCCTTAAACACACCCTAAGAACATCATCATTCATTCAGTTGTATGACTGTGTCACGGTGTGAGACGTCATATGCGGCACCGAGGCAATGCCCACATGGCAAAACAACTCTTCCAAGAAATGGATCAAAGAATTGCCGAGAAGCAACAAAATAGCCTTGCAACCTCCCTAAAACTTCAAGCAAACTACAAGCATTTCACGATCCATACCACTCTTTGCTTTCTCTGATTTCTTCCCACCTAGCATTACACTATATGCATCTCATTAAAACAAAAAGGAAAAAAAAACGCCTAGAACCGTTCAGAACAGAGTTGGCAAGAGACATTAAACCAGCTCGTCCTCTAGACTATCCTGAGGACTCCTCACCAGCTCAAGAATGTTCACCACTTCGCCCATGTCTGGCCGGTTCGATGGAACCCGCGAGGTGCAAACAAGGCCCAGCTTGATGATTGGCAAGGCCTCTTCCATGGGGAATTCACCACATAACCTGGGATCCATGCAGTCCTCCAGCCTACCTTCCTCCAGTGCGCTTCTCACCAAATCACATAGCACAACTACATCATCTTCCAAGTACTCAACCGGCCTCCTGCCCGTCAAGACCTCCAGCACGAGCACTCCAAAGCCATACACGTCGCACTTCTCGGTAATCTTCACAGTCTTGCAAGCAAATTCTGGTGCCATGTACCCCAGTGCACTCTGGATCTTACTGCTCAGCACATACCGGTCCAGCATCGGCAACAGCTTGGCAAGACCATAGTCACCTACCCTGGGTTCACCATTGCTGTCCAGCAGAACATTGCTGGACTTGAGATTGTAATGGATGATCCCACGCTGGTGCAGATGTGTCAGACCCCTAGCAACTCCAAGGATAATGTCAAACCTTTCCATCCAAGAGAGCGAGTTGTCCTCCGTGCACTCATGGAGGTGTTTGTGCAAATTTCCTCCGGGCAGGTAATCATAGATGAGGAGCTGCAGCGACGAAGTCCAGTAGAAGCCTCTTAGTGCGACGACATTGTGGTGTCGCACTTTGCTGAGCAACTTCACCTGTCTCTCAAAGTCATCCTTCGACTTGACCAAGCTAGAAACGGTGAGCTTCTTGATGGCCACCGGTTGGCCATCTCTCAGCACTGTCTTGTAGACTGCACCAAAACCTCCTCGACCAAGCTCACAATCCTTATTCAACAAGGCATGCCCACCAGCGCTGAACTCTGGGCTGCCTTTTCCAAACATAACAAGCTTCCCTGAGCTAGCATCATTCTCTGGGGATTGGCTAAGATAGTCATCAGATAATGCAGTAGCAGGAGCTGACCGAGAGGTGGTGGCACGGGCACGACGGTTGAGAACAGATATGATGATCACCCCGATAATAATGGTACCACCACCTGCAATGGCAATGAGGGTGGAAACACTTAATATGATCTTCTTGTGGTGCATGCTGCTAGGGGCAGTCGGTGTGGCCTGCGACAATGGGTTTGTCGAGGAGTTGGGATTGAGCACTATGGGCTTTGGCATGATAGCAATGCAGGAGTTGTTCTTCCGCGAGCTGCAGAGGCCCTGATTGTCAGACAAGAAGGTTTCAGGGATGTTGTCGAAGAAACGACTATTTGGGAGGTCCCCTGATAGTAAGTTGTGGGAGACATCAAAGATGCGCAAGCTGGGCAGATTAGATAGCTCCACTGGTAAGGTCCCATTCAGCTTGTTCTTTGATAGATCAACCACCTCAAGACTGGTCAGATTGCCTACGGTGCTAGGGATTGACCCTGTGAGATTATTGTGTGACAAATCCCTGCATTTCAAGAGCAAAACATTGTCTTGGTTAAAAACTTAAAATGGTTCATAATGTTAAATCGCCGTAACCAAATAATATGACGGTTTGATCGAATTGATCAGTTTAATACTATATTGAAGCAAATGCTCAAGATCCTATTCATGTACATTTGACTTCAGTTTTGAGTGTATCGAAGAAAATGAGGGCCCAGGTTACACTGGGATACGAGCAAAAAACATGACACAGACCCATATTTTGCGGTTTGGGGGTCCAAACAGAAAATAAGACATCAGGATCTCTTGTCTCCTATCACTTTCTACAACGTCTCTGCACAACCTACGAAACTGAAAGCCAACAAAGCATGCAGGAAATAATACAAAAAACAAATAGAACTAGTCAACCTCACTAACAAGCAACCGCAATGACGTCGAATTTGATTTAATTCAATAAAAAATACATGCTAAAAGAAGTAGGAGTAAAAAGAACTCACAATGCAACAAGGGAACTGCAATTCCCAATCTGCGACGGGATGTGGCCGGTGAATGAATTCCGCCCCAGCCGCAGCTCCCGGAGCGCCACTGCGCCGCCAATCTCCGGGGGCACGCCGCCGTCGAGACGGTTGGCGCTCACATCGAGCACCTCGAGCAGCCTCATCCCGCCAATGCCGGCGGGCAGCTGCCTCGCGAAGGAATTCGAGGACATGTTGAGATACTGCAAACCCGCAAAAGCGGTGATCTGCGGCGGGATCCCGCCGGAGAACCCGTTGCTCGACAGGTCCAGCGCGCGCAGCGCCAGCGCGGCATCCGCCGGCACCTTGACCCACCCGTACAACTTGTTCCCAGCGACCGAGACGCGCTGCAGCGGCAGGCCGAACACCCACCAGGGGAGCTCGCCGGCGAGCGCGTTCCGGCTGAGGTCCGCCTCCACCATCTTCTTGCATTTCGCGATGGCGTCAGGGATGGCGCCCGAGAAGCGGTTCCCGGACAAGTCCAGCCGCTCCAGCGCCCACATCTCCCCGATCCACGACGGCACCTCCCCGGCGAGCGCATTGCCGCCGACGCCGAGGAACCGCAGCGCGGACAGCCGACGCAGCGACTCCGGCAACCCGCCGGTGAAGAGATTGTGCCCGACATCCAGCGACTTGAGGAGCGCCGCCTCCCCGACGTCCGCCGGTATCTCCCCGGCGAGAAGGTTCCGGCTCAAGTCCACCGCCCGCAACGAGCTGCTCCCGGGGAAGCCTCCGGGGACACTCCCGGAGAGCTCGTTGCCCGAGAGGTCAAGCGACCGGAGCGAAGGCAACGACCAGAGGCCATCAGGGATGGGGCCAGCGAGGCGGTTGGAGGAGAGGTTGAGGGACACGAGCGACGCGCACGACGTGACGGCGGGCGGGATGTAGCCGGAGAGCTCGTTGCGCGCGAGGGAGAGCGCGCGGATGGAGCGGCATTGCGCGAAGAGCTCGGCGGGGACGGGGGCGGCGAGGCGGTTGGAGGAGAGGTCGAGGGAGCGGAGGCGGGGGAGCGCGGCGAGGAGGCCCGGGAGCACCGGGCCGGAGAGGTTGTTCCGCGGCAGGGAGAGGGAGGCGAGCGCGTCGAGGCGGAGCAGCGCGCGCGGGAGGCGGCCGGAGAGCGACGCCCCCGGGAGGGACAGCGACGTCACCCGCCCCGCCCGCGCGTCGCACCCGACCCCGGGCCAGGAGCAAGGGCGGTCGTCGTCCTCCGTCCACGCGGCGAGCCTGCCCATCGGGTCGGCGACCCCCGTCTTGAAGACCACCAGCGCGAGCACGTCGTCGGTGAGCGCGGTGGCGGCCGTCGCCGCGGCCGCCACGGCGAGCAGCGCCGCGAGGAGCCGCGCGAGCGGCGAGGCGGCGGCCATCTCGCGCGCGGAGGAGGAGGAAGCGGGAGAACGCAATGGGGAGGAGGGATCACAGCGGCGCCTTGTCCATTTGCGGCGGCAAGGCAAGTTTTTGGAGAGGAGGTGGAGGTGGTGGAGTGGTGGCGCAGTGAGGGAAGCACAGAGGAGAGGAGATGGGGGGCCTTGTGCTGCTATTAATGTGCTACGAGTAGAACAAATAGGAATCGACAAAATGATTTCTCTTGGCTTTCTGGATTTCTATGGTTTTATCTTGCAGAGAAAAAATGGTGGTACAGCTTTAATCTTGGCTTAGCTCATGTTGTCGACTCCTTTTTTTGGGTATTCATAGGTGGAAACTATATAATTAATCTTACATATGATTGATATTAAGTGAATTTTAATTGCTTGTTCGAAGATAAATTATCTTCCACAGCTTCATTTGTTGAAATGGAATTAAATAGGTTACCATTATGGACTTGCAACATTTTCCTCCAAACATCGTTTGATAAGCATGGAGTCCCACAATTTATATCGCCTCCGATATCACTGTCACCGTTACGTATTCCTATAGCATTATGCGGTGGCGGGGCTGCAGGACGACTTCAGGCTCTGTTGTTGATTACTCCACAATGAATTACTACCTTTGACGTTCACAGAAACTAGTTAATCGTCCAAAAATGCTATTTGTTTCCTTAAACTAAACGACATCATTGGCTTCGCTATTGAAGATATGATATGATATAGTAAGTATATATCTTCCTCTTTAATTAGGGCCTATTTAGTTTCGAGGAATTTTGCAGGAATTTTAAAGGAGTTGAGCTTACTAGTAGAAGTATTTTGATGAGTAGGAGTAGAGCACAATTTTTTAGAAGTTTCGTTCTAGTGTAACAAAACGGAGTTTGTTTTATACCCCCAATTTTCCAAACCCTCTGGAAATTCACCACAAAGGAAAAGAGGGTCAGAGGTTTTAAAAGCTCCTGGTTCCTGGCCTACGGCTGTCTGCAGTGTCTGAAGGTTGCTTGTATTCAATGCGTCGCAACAACCTTCATTTACAGCGGCCACTCCGAATGGCAGCATTTATGGGGGAACTTATTGCGATCCGGAGCAACCAGGGCAAGAGTAGCGCCGCAGCACAGCAACTGGGACACCCTCACGGTCCGGTTGGTGAGCATTGTTCAGTGCAACTTATTTGAAAATTTAAAATTTACCGCCTTGCTTGCTCAGGAGTCAGGAGGCACCGAGGACAATGCTGGTAAAGTAGAATCCTATACAGTTTTTGCTAGTAGAGCACGTACAATAATAGAACTATAAACAACTAAATACGTGTGTGTTTAGTTCACATTAAAATTAGAAGTTTGGTTGAAATTGAAACGATGTGATGGAAAAGTTGGAAATTTGTGTGTGTATGAAAATTTTGATGTGATGGAAAAGTTGGAAGTTTGAAGAAAAAATTTGGATCTAAACTCGGCCTACATATCAAGAAAAAAAATGAGAGAAAATAGCAGTGTGCTACAGATTTGTAGCCAGCGCCCAGCTGTAACACGGAACTCTAATACACAATTTGTGTATGACAGGTGGAACCATATATTAATAGTGTAGTATATGTTTATAGGTAACTATTATATGAATTAGCTATTAAATTGATTATATATGATTTTGAGCTAGTAGTTGACTATACTATTAAACTTGTTCGTAGTACTACAAAGTAAAATGTGCAGTGTATTGTTCTAAAATAAAATCATTTCTTCATATATCACCTCTTCTTAAGCAATTATAATTATTTTTAATTAATTTTTCACATACTTTCTCTTTTCAACCAATCATAATCTTTCTCTAATCATTTACACATATTTTCTTAATACTCGTGGCTATCTTAAGAATAATTATATGGTGCGACGGAGGAAGTAGCAATCACTGGGGTTAAAAAAAACTCCAAACTTATATGGGTTGGATCAACTCTGACTTAAGGCTGTGTTCAACACTAGTGGTTGGGAACGGTTCCCTCGGCACGAAAAACAGAGCAGTTCATTAACGTGTGATTAATAAGTATTAGCTATTTTTTTTCAAAAATGAAACAATATGATTTTTTTAAACAACTTTTGTATATAAACTTTTTGCAAAAACACACACCGTTTAGCAGTTTCAAAAGCGTACGCGCGGAAAACGAGAAGGAGGGGTTGGGAACCCAGACAAAGGAACTGAGCCTTATAGTCATAATGAGTCAAACCGAGCTTATAAGTTTTTAGCTCTCTAGCACTCTACTCTACTCTGTTTTGAATTAGTTTGTTGTTCTAAGTTTATCCTAAGTTAAACATAACTATTTTTTTACTATAGATTTTATTTACAATATGTGAGGTTTGACAACAATGTTAATTATATGTTAGTAGGAAAGTATGTTTCATGATGGATTGAAAATATAAAACCTATAATGATAAACTATATGAATTTATAAGAATTAATGATCACAGATTAAAATGTTCCGACTTAAAACAAACTTAGAATAAGACTTCTTTCTCATCTATAGTACTCCCTCCATTTCATAATGTAAGATTTTCTAGCATTGCTCATATATATATATAATGTTTAGATAATGTTTAGATTCATTAGCATCTATATGAATGTAAGCAATGCTAGAAAGTCTTACAATGTGAAACGGAGGAAGTAGTGACTAGTCTCTTTATATTTGATGAACTCTTTATTAGTTAGCGTTTGTTATTATATTAATATGTGATAGAATGTTTTGATATTATAAAGGTGATATAAATAAGATGAAGCTCGTTAAATAGAATATATCTTAAGAGCAAGTTTAATAGTATAGCCAACTACTAGCTCCAAATCATACATAGTCAATCTAATAGCTAATTTATATAATAATCAACTACAAATATACAGTACATCATTAATATTTGGTCATACCTATCATACACACAGCGTCTTACCTATCATACACATATCATCTTAAAGTCCGTGCTGCAGCTGGCTACAAACTATTGTCCGCTTCTCTTTTCTCTACTCACTATTCACATGTGCTTATAGCTGATTTATAGTTTGTTATTGTACATGTTCTAACGAGCCATTTCAAGAGTCAAGCCGAGCCTGACTTTTATAACTCATTAAGGTTAATTACCAAGGTTTGGCTCGTTATCTACCTCATTAAGCACCTAAAGTTTTTCTTCTCTTTTTTACGGAAAAATGTAGAGCCAGCTCTACTATTTTGTATATTCAGTACAAGATTACATTGTGAACAATAAGAGGGAAGTTAAAGATAAAAGGACAGATAGAGTTAGGCGAGAGAATGTACAAAACCTAAAGATCCAATCAAATTGACTTTTTTTAATCGCGGTTTAAAAATACGCAAGTGAGATCAGACCACCCCAGATTCCTTGTCAGCTCATTCACGTCACTGTCATTGTGAATTCCCAGTAGTAAACATTTTCTAAATGCAGTGTTGCTTAAGCCAATGACACTTAATTAACAGACAGCCAGTGTATAGTAAGCATGTGCCAATGTTATTTTACTGCCGTGGATCCCAGACACAGCGACGAGGGTGCTGCGCTATAACAGTTTAAGCGGAAAAGTGAGATTTAATAAGTGAGGCAGGAGAGCAAACCTCAATGCTTTGTGGTGGGGGAAGAAATGAATCATGCAGGCTTTTGCTGTCTTGCTGATGGTGTCCCCCACAGGCTGCTAGTGTTACTGCTGTCTTTCATAATGCAATCTCAATTAGTCTTTCTGCACAAGTTACCTTCTGAGATCCACGTCCACATGCAGATGCCTGTAGCTTTGCTCCAAACAATCATATTTTGCATTAGTATAATCTGCACCCTTGCATAAACAATGAATGTTATTCTTAATGCCACCCAGCAGATTTTCTACCAATTGACTTTACAGATCACTCACTGTAGCTGCTTTCTGTGAGGATATGAGATGTTGTATACAAATATGTTTGGGCAGTTTGTTGATTGAACTGATAGCGTCTGCTCGAATGTGGTAGACCCAGTCAACAAATGTTTCAGGAAATGTGTTTCTAAAGGGAACAGTTATCATCTTTTGCTTTCTTTTCACAAAGAATTCAACCACAGCTATGCAAAGCTCTGAAAAGGTTGCGCTTTGCTACAAAATAAAGGTATTGTGTTGCGGAATTCAGCTAGTATATGTTTCTATACAGTATAAGAGAGAGTAAGCAGAAGAGAGCAGAAGCAATAGAAACAAAAAGTATATGGATAATTGCATATATCTGAAGGCAGTTCTGCAAAGAAAAGGAATCAGGATGAATTAAATAAAAAAAGATCTGATGTTCCTCAGAAAATATTTAATTATGATTTTGCTTCCAGTTCCAGGGCAAATATCAACATATGACTGCATTCCTACCACTAGAACTAAGTGTTGAATTCCCTTTCTGGTCACATGGTTTACCTGCCCCAAAGTTCCTCCACATGACACACAAAAGTAGAACACAATGATTTCTGGTAGCTTAGATAGAAAAATTATCCATTCCTGCCAATGTTACCATGATTAGATAAGGAATAAAAGCAAATCACAGTATAAGTCCACCTGGCAATGCGTTTTGTCATCGTGACAGTCACAGGTTGGACCATTGGCATCTTCTTCCTTCAGCAAAGCAAGAATTTTAACCAAGCCTCTGCCAAGAGGTCTCGTACTTGTCCTGCAGAAAACATGTAACAGAAACGTCTGAAATGTTTGATACTCCCTCCGTTTCACAATGTAAGACTTTCTAGCGTTGCCCACATTCATATAGATGTTAATGAATCTAGGTATATATATGTGTCTAGATTCATTAGCATCTATATGAATATGGGAAATGCTAGAAAGTCTTACAATATGAAACGGAGGGAGTACATCCTATCACCTTTCCAAGTCACACTGTGAAGAACTAATGTAGGGACTAGGGAGTATTTTTCGCTGTCGTGAATCAACACCAAGCAGGCCAATGCAGGAACTACAAGCCAGGCAACCATATGAGCATGTAGAGCATTGATAACCGTACAACTCACTTTTCTTTAACTGGAGAAGAACATGCTAACAACAAGAAGACTACCCACTATATGCAATACAAAGGGGATCATATGCCCGTAATCAAATCATCTCTCAAATTCTCTGCATGCTCAAGTTGTCCATAAATGACACAACAACAGTACCACTGACGATGCGAAAATGCCCATGGGAAATATAACAACAGAGATGCATTATGCATATAGCTCGTCCTGGAGAAATTGATGCCCAAAATATTATTGCGGTACAGTTGTTGTTTGTCCCCGACCCACGCAATGATCATGCCTAATACAGTGTTCCAAATGGCAGCATGGCTAGGAAAATGCAAACAGGAAAACTTCAAAATAGTACACGAAAGAACTCAGCGACAATAAATAGTTCTTAGTTCTTAAATATTCAACAGAAAACAGAAAATTTGACAAAAAGTGTGAAAGTCTCTCTCAGAAAATATTAGGAGTACATACATATAATGCATCAAAAAAAATTGTGACTTGTGCAAAAAGCAAGGACATAAGGTGGTGAAGGTAAAAATAACCTTGGCATCGCATAAATCTTTGTCATGCTAACAAGCTTATATCATTAAGTGAACAAAAAGGCCAAAAGCAAGAGGAGAGGAATCATGCAAAGGGGAAAAGGACATAAAGGAAGAAAAAGGGAAAAGGAATATGTGGACCTGTGGTGACCTATAGAGTGGGAGGGCCAGCAGGGCGGCACCTCTCAAGTCTCAAGTGACAGTATCATGTGCAGACTCAAGCCTTATCTAGCACATAGGACTCGGGGAACATGTATATAACACCAACTATAACAATAATGAGCTCAATGCTATAATGACTGGTATAATACCATCAATGTTAAAGGATTTCGCAAGAGACCTTGTTGGACATAGGTACAGAATTCTGGAGTGAATTGTAGGACTGGCCAACCTAAAATGAAATGTAGTAATAGCCAGTTCGATGTAGAAAGAATATTTGCTAAAAAACCCTGGGCAGGTTACGTCTGATGATCAGCACACTGTTATCACCACATATTGTCCTGTTCCGGTATGCCCTCCAAGCCATCTTAGCAGTCCATCGATATGGTCATGAGCTCCCATCTCTAGCTGCATATTGGACTACCGCATCATCCCTTCTCTAAAAACTGAAACAGGCTTGCACATTTCCCATCAAAACCATGACGAAAACAAAGATGTGTGATGCATATATTGGATTCAGTGATCAGAGACATTGGAATCGGATCATGCTTCACAGCCCAAGCCCAAACCCACAAAAAAGGATTAACAAATTGAACAAACTAGTGAATTTCGGTTGCGTGTTCTGTTTGAAAGATATAGCCCTCTAACACCAATATATGACAAAATCCTATTGTGCATTTTTTTTAC